TGATACCACTTAACCATTATTTTGCATTGTAATTTTATGGCTCATAACTTTTCCCTAAATTAGTACCATCTACATTCTGTTAAACCCATGCAATACTATAAAATATAGAACATGTAAGTAAGTTTTTACATTTTGTATGCATTTTGCATAACCTAACATTAGTAATGTTACCATCTTAAATCATCTTAGCAATTTTAGCCTTGTATTTGGGAAAACATTTTTAAGTTCTTGAATATATAATATACATATTAATGTACATGGTTATATACATATATGAATACACCAATGAAAAAAATTTAGACAAATTTATAAATTATAAATAATCCTTGATTTTAAAGTTTCTGACTTTGGGAGTAGATTATCTGACAACCAGAGAAATCTCTAGTTGTCAGGAAAACCACACTGTTATAGAACCCTCTCTTGTACAATCCTCCTAAACAAGGTGCTACTGACTGCTGAAAAAGGTTTCCTTGACTGGGAAGATGAGGCACATTCATGGGACACAGGAGAGTCTGTTAGAAACATGAATTTGGGGCCAGCACTGTGGCATAGTGGGTAGAGCCGCTGCCTGCAGTGCTGGCACCCCATATGGGCACCAGTTTGAGTCCCAGCTGCTCTACTTCCAATCCAGCTCTCTGCTATGGCCTGGGAAAGCAGTGGAAGATGGCCCAAGTGCTTGGGGCCCTGCACCCACGTGGGAGACCTGGAGGAAACTCCTGGCTCCTGGCTCCAGATCGGCACAGCTCCAGCCGTTGCAGCTAGTTGGGGAGTGAACCAGTGGATGGAAGACATCTCTCTCTCTCTCTCTCTCTCTCTCTGCCTCTCCTTCTCTCTTTGTGAAACTCTTTCAAATAAATAAATCTTAAAAAGAGAAAAAGATGAATTCAACTACAAGCAAAAGTTACACTTCCCAAGGGCTGACTACCAAGCAACTGCCAAGTTGTGTACTTTCATACAGTGAACTACCTGATCCTCAGAAATCAATGGAGTGATGCCATTTTTCAATTTTATATTTCTGTCACCCAAAACCACACCAAAAAAAAAGAGAAAAAAATTCAATTATTTAATCAAATTTGAGCCATTAGGAAGCATCAGACTCAAGGTTGAAACCTGCATTTAACTGCAATGTTTTCTTTTCCAGTTGGAAGTGTCATGAATAGTTAGCTTAGATAAATAACTTTTGTAATCTGGTTATACTTTTAGAAACAGAGGGGCTGGCGCTGTGGTGCAGCGGGTTAACACCCTGGCCTGAAGCGCTGGCATCCCATATGGGCGCTGGTTCTAGTCCCAGCTGCTTCTCTTCCGATCCAGTTCTCTCCTATGGCCTGGGAAAGCAGCAGAAGATGGCCCAAGTCCTTGGGCCCCTGAACCCATGTGGGAGACCCAGAAGAGGCTCCTGGCTCCTGGCTTCGGATTGGTGCAGTTCTGGCCATTGCAGCCATCTGGGGAGTGAGTCAGTGGATGGAAGACCTCTCTCTCTGTCTCTACCTCTCTCTGTAACTCTGTCTTTCAAATAAATAAAATAAACCTTTAAAACAAACAAACAAACAAACACTTGTTACAATTCTGAAATAAAAAAACTGTTTGGTGTTAAGAGCAGACTGATGGGCACCAAGGATCACTCGGTGTCACACAACACATCCAACAGGTTCCTTAGAGTCCAGACAGGGACAGTAACATTCCAACAGCTTTCTAAAATGCACAGAAACAGGAAGAAGTAGATGAAAATGGCTGAAGAACCTGCAGCAACCAACCAACACATCACCTCTATGGTAGGGTTAGGCAGGGGTAGAAAATTCAGAGCACTCTTTTGTTGCTTATTTCATAATCTTAGAAAAAAGGAGCTAAAAATATGGCTGATTTTTTTTTTATCTTAAACCCAGTTTTTTCATACTTAATTATCAAAAAGTAATAAAATTATTAACACAAAGATTTAGAAATATTTTTAAATATCATCAAAGCCATTAAAACCGAAGTTGAAAAAGCTTTCAAACGTATCTTTCTTGTTTCAGAATCATAAGTAACCCTCGGCCGGCGCTACAGCTCAGTAGGCTAATCCTCTGCCTGTGGCACCAGCACCCCGGGGTTCTAGTCCCACTTGCTCCTCTTCCAGTCCAGCTCTCTGCTGTAGCCAGGGAGTGCAGTGGAGGATGGCCCAGGTCCTTGAGCCCTGCACCCGCATGGGAGACCAGGAAGAAGCACCTGGCTCCTGGCTTCGGATTGGTGCAGTGCCAGCCATAGCAGCCATTTGGGGGATGAACCAATGGAAGCAAAACCTTTCTCTCTGTCTCTCTCTAATTCTGCCTGTCCAAAAAATAAATAAATAAATAAATAAATAAGTAACCCTTAAATACCTTCCTTCTTTCCTTCCAGCCTTCCTTTTTTTTTTTTTTAAGATTTATGTATATATTTATTTATTTATTTATTTGACAAAGAGAGTTAGACAGTGAGAGAGAAAGGTCTTCCTTCCATTGGTTCACTCCCCAAATGGCCGCTACAGCCTGCACTGTGCAGATCTGAAGCCCGGAGCCAAGTGCTTCCTCCTGGTCTCCCATGGGGTGCAGGGCTCAAGCACTTGGGCCATCCTCCACTGCCTTCCCGGGCCACAGCAGAGAGCCAGACTGGAAGAGGAGCAACCGGGACAAGAACCCAGTGCCCATATGGGATGCTGGCTCCACAGGCGGAGGATTAGCCAAGTGAGCCACGGCGCCGGCCCCAAGGTTTATTTATTTGCAAAGCAGAGCCACAGAGAGAGAGGAAGAGAAAGAGATCTTCCATCTGCTGGTTCATTTCCCAAATGGTCGGAACAGCCAGCTCTGGGCCAGGCCTAAGCCAGGAACCAGGAACTCCATCCAAGTCTTTCACATGGGTGTCAGGGGCTCAGGTACTTGGGCCATTTCTTTTTGCCTTCTCAGGTACATTAACAAGAATATGGATGGGACACTGTGTAGCTGAGACTTGAATGGACACTTTGATACAGGATGCTGACGTCACAAACAGCAGCTTAACCCGCTGTACCACAATGCTGGCACCTTTTTAAAAATAATGTCTTTTCTACCATAAAGTGCAAAAGTCATATGTGAAAAATAAAATCTTGTGCTTGATGTTAATAAGGCACTATAATTTTATAATCACATGATCTCTTTCTTAATCACTACACCTGGTTCCTTTCCTTCCTAATTGTTAAGTAAATTGTCATCACAGGGAGATATATCATATTTATCCCACAATTTTAAATATCTCTCCAATAAAAATATTTTATCTCAACTTCAGGAACAGAATCTAATAGTTCATTTAATGTCACAATAGCCATACATAGTATTTTTCAGAGAGAGCATTTGGAGTTATTCCCGCTGTCTTCTTCATGTTGTCATCTTTATCTGTCACACTGATGGATATAGCTAGATTTTTAGTTTCAGATCATTCATTTCCACCACCATTATCACAATTCAGTACTGCTTCTCTTCACTTGAATTCACAATCTATCTACTGTATTCTCTAATAGATTATTAAAGGCTATAAATTACAGTCAGAGCTGCCTCTCTCAATCTCCGTTTCCTTTGCTGGAATTTCCACAGGACATAGCATGAACTAGAGATGGCCTGAATTCCTAGGTGGAGCTCAGCCATCACAGTGCCCTCTGACCACCTCAACCCCGGATCCTTACAGTGGAGGCTCCTGTAGATCACGCCTGGTGTCACTTACACTCCGTGTCACTTAAGGAACTGTCAGATTTACTTGCAAACCTGAAGAAGGTTTCCTCTCCAGCTTTTTTATGTTCACAAGGTAAAGGAATTACAGTGATTAATTGTCTAGGCTAATTCAGATCCTCTTTATATTTATTAGAGTGAACTATTCCGTAGGGCCAATTTCAATATTCAATTATAGCAACAAAACAGAAAAGTCCAAAGAGAGAGAACACAGAGTTCTTGGGCGGTACAGATCCAAATCCACACTAGATACTAGAAGGTGAGATGAACAATTTGTATTCTAGGAACAAGAAATCATTTATTTATAGATCAGTTATTAGCTTGATAAATTTCTTAGAGTTTGGCTATTGTTAGCAACAATTTGTCAAAAAGACTCCAATTTTAAAAATATGAGTAACTGAGGTGGGTACTGAGTTCCTTCTTTTAGAACAAAATGGAAAGTATCTTTATCATGTAACAAAGATTCGAGTTTTATATGTACACTTGATTGAACAGATTCTAAGTAGTTTTAAATTGCTAAGAAATGAGCTTTACATGTAGTCACATTATTCATACTAGATGTCCATTTGCATTTTTAGCAAATATTAAAAGTAATATAAGCCTAAATTCATTCTGTATCAGCCTTGTATACTGGATTCAAGACAGTTTTGTGTATAGCTTAAAACAACATGATATAAAATTACACAGTGGTGTTTAAATGTGACTGTCTCCAGAGACTTCCCTTAGTAGGAGTTATCTCTTTAAAAATAAAAATATAAATTACATGCATGGATATAATCTTTTAAATCTCCTATTGATATTTTAACTTATTGAATCATATCTCATGAGTTATTTTTAAAATCTTTTCGAGGTGTAATTAACAATTTAGAATGCTACTAAAATCTAAAGAACAGTTTAGGTCATCGGTATTTAATTTAAATACGGGTGGGTGTAGGTAACTTCATTTTCATTTTCTGTGAAACATAATACACACATAATCTTAACAAAAGTTGGCTCCATAAATACATTTAATCCTTTTGGAATTGATAACACCAATTTAGCATGCTTAAGATAATAGGAAGTGCAGCTCTGTGACAGCACAGCAGAGATAAAGTCAGCAGGAAAATCTTATATACTATCTATTTTTGGAAGACCATAAAATCCCCATTCCTTTCCTCTCTAAGTTAAAGAAAAATCAAGGCGTCTGTTAGAATCACAAATGTAGACAACCCATGTTATGTGATTTAGCCTGTAAAAATGGCCTTAAAGTGTTCCCTTCCTGGTTAGTAACTCACGATACATCTTACAGACCTTTACAGTGCTGGGGCAGTCTGAAGGCTCCAGACGGGTGATGAATTTCAGATGAGCAGTTCTTCTTTACTGGGAGCGTGGAGGTTGGCCTTGCCTATTCATTAAAGCCTGCTGGGTCTGTGGTCACTTTGAGGCAACTGTGGCCTTACACTCTCATCTGTCCTCTTACTCCACTCAACTATATTTGGTAACTGAACTCATGTTTCAGCAGAGTGCCACGGTCAGGAATCCCAGCGGCAAGCTGGGAAACAGCCCCGGCTCTGAGAGCTGGGTTCTTAGAGATTAAGGCCAGTTAGCACAGAGAGGACCATGTTTACGGATCTAATAAACATGGGATCCAAGCACGTTCCTTTATACTCTGATCTTGTAAACCCTCACATGCTCTTCTAACGTGTTCTTAATTGACTAAAAGCGCAATGTCTGATTCCAAGTTGGAAAAGGGATCACTCTTAAGGAATATCCCTCTTACTCTACCCTTCTGCTCTGTGTGTTTAACTTTAGCCATGTGGCAAATTATCCCAAAATAGAAAATTCAGTAACTGTCTAAAAAGTCAGCTACTTTTCAGAGTAGAAAGACCTAATGCTCTCTTGCTTCATGCGGCTAATTACAATTGTTACATGACATAGTCCATGGTGGAAGTAAACAGCATGAACATTTCGGGACTTAGCCATCTACGTGTTGCAACACTGAGTTCTCAGTTCAGTGGCTAGCGTATAGCGAGCACCTAGTAAATATTTGTTAAATAAATATTGACTGAATAACCTTCTGGACAAGCTATGGTTATAGAAAATGGCTCACAACTATTTTGTTACTTATTCTGTAGCACCTCATTGTAACATAGTCCAATATTTGGATCTTCCAAGTAACACAGATGAGAATAGTAAGCTTTTCTGTTCCAAGACCAGGTAGCAGAGGCAAGCTGAAGGGGGAGAAGATAACTTGGAGGTGAAGCACAGCCTTCCTTTTTCTACGTGATGCCATCACAATTGGCCCAATTTCACATCTTAAGAAGTTTCTTTTTTCTTTTTTTTTTTGACAGGCAGAGTGGACAGTGAGAGAGACAGATAGAGAGAAAGGTCTTCCTTTGCCGTTGGTTCACCCTCCAATGGCCGCCGCGTCCGGCACACCGCACTGATCCAAAGCCAGGAGCCAGGTGCCTCTCCTGGTCTCCCATGTGGGTGCAGGGACCAAGCACTTGGGCCATCCTCCACTGCACTCCCTGGCCACAGCAGAGAGCTGGCCTGGAAGAGGGACAACTGGGACAGAATCCGGCGCCCCGACCAGGACTAGAACCTGGTGTGCCAGCACCACAAGGTGGAGGATTAGCCTAGTGAGCCGCGGCGCCGGCCAAGAAGTTTCTTTCTAATAGTATAAAATGTGTGACACTTTGCTCTTAAATACTTTTTTTATAGGATTTATTTTCATCTACTTGAAAGGCAGATGAAGAGAGAGACAGGGAGAGAGACAGAGAGAGAGAGAAAGAGAATCGATCTTCCATTGACTGATTCATTCACCAAATGCCTGCAACAGCTAGGGCTGGCTGGACCAGGCCAAACCCAGGAGTCCAGAACTTCATCCGGGTCTCCCATGTGGGTGGCAGGGTTCTGAGAACTGAACCACCATTGGCTGCTTCCCAGGATGCACTAGGAGAAAACTGGATCAGAAGTAGGGCTGGTACTCCATCCCTTGCACTCTGATGTGGGAGGTAGGTGTTGCAAGGGGCAACTTAATCCACTGTGCCACAACACCACCCCTCTTGAACATTTCTTCATAAGCAAAACGGGGCCTCTATAAATGGGCCACTCAACCAATATGTTCACTAATAAGTGATTTTAAACTTTATACTTATGGAGGAGAAAACCTCTGGTTGATCCTCAATCTGCTTGTGCTGCTAAAACAGAACACCACAAACTGGTAACTTGGAACAGTTATTTCTCACAGATCTGGAGACTACAACACCTAAGATCAAGGGCCCAGCAGGTTTGTTATCTGATGAAGTTCCTGTCTCTGCTTCCAAGATGGTGCCTTGAACTCTGGCTCCCTGGAAGGGAAGAGCACTGTGTCCTCACACAGTGGTAGGCAAGGGGAATCAAGCTCCCTCCGCCTGGTTCTGTGCAAAGTGCTCCTAATCACTGTCCAAAACCCACACCTCTCGGTATTGTTGTGCTGCATATTTAGTTTCAGTATGAATACTGTAGGGGACAGAACCATTCAAGCCATAGCATTCATTAAAACAATGGCTGGAGCAGGGTCAACCTGAAGCCAGAAGCCTGGAGGTTCTTCTGGGTCTCCCACATGGGTGCAGGGTCCCAAGCACTTGGGCCGTCTTCTACTACTTTCGCAGGCCATAGCAGAGAGCTGGACCAGAAGAGGAGCAGCCAGGTCAGGAACTGGTGCCCATATAAGATGCCAGAGTCACAGGCAGAGGCTTAGCCTACTATGCCACAGTGCCAGCCCCTAAATGCTGTTTATATCTTCTTTTTACTAAGTCCCCATAAGATAACAATAAAAACCAAAAAGGAAACAATTGGGAGAAGAGAGAGTTGAAAATATCAGAAATGGACAAAATTGTTAGAAAATGATAAATTTCAGGATGGGTATAATAACAAAACTTAAACCCCTGCAGAAGGAGAGACTGATAAAAAGCAAGAAATTTTTCCCACAGAGTCCGAGAAAGGCTCAGGAATGGAGCCACCCCACCGCTCCTTGCACCTCAACTTTTGTGAATCCCAGACTAATTTTACAAGCCCACCTAATGAGAGTGCAGAGGGCATGCACACACTCATGCCTCCTTTAAAATTCTTCTTAATTTTTAAAATAAAGATTTATGTACCTATTTGAAAGTCAGAGTTAGAGAAAGGGAAACACAGAGATATCTTCCATCCACTGGGCCACTCCCCAGATGGCCTCAAGAACTGGAGCGAGACCAGGCCAAAGCCAGGGGCCAGGAGCTTCATCCAGGTGTCCCATGTGGGTGGCAGGGTCCAGGTACTTCAGCCATCTTCCACTGCTTTCCCAGGCATGTTAGCAGGGAGCTGGATCAGATGTGGAGCAGCTGGGACATGAACCGGCAACCATAGGGGATGCTGGCATGGGAGGCGGCTGTTTTTCCAGTATACCACAGTGTAGACGCCTGATATTTGTTTCTTATCAAGACATCACCAGAAAGGTAATATTCTTGCAGTTCCTTGAAAGAGAGGATTTGAGCATGAATCCAATAGATGGTCACTGTGCCGAGTAACAAGAATACCATGAGTGTTGCTAAATCAGTTCATTTTGTCACTTTGGAGTCATTCACGATTAAATGAAAACACAGGTTTCCCCTTCCCCTTTCCGAGGACAGCTGAGTTTTCGGATGCTTGTGCTCCTTTTTCACAGTGGGGAGTTCTTATCTTTTTGTACAAATAAAAAGGTTAAAAAAAAAAAAAAAACAGGTGTGTAAACCTTCCAGGGAGGTGGGGGCTGGTGCTTCGGGGGGAAGATGCTGAGAGATGGTAGAGTCTTAGAGCCTGAAAGGCCAGGGAGGTGCGGCCTCTGGGACTGGCCAGGTTGTTCCCACCATACAGGATGAATGCCCAGCCCTAGCACTGGCTCCTGGGCACCGGGCACGAGGCATCATGGCCTTGGGAGTGCAGTGGAACACGTGGATGAGTACTTCCCAGTGTACCAGGAGGCTAGAACAGTAAGTCACAACAGAGAAATCAAAAAAGGAGGCCTCTCCTACAATTTCCTGGGTTCCCTGGGCCCCACATCCTGCCAAAAAGCCCTAAGAACAAAGGCAACAAAAGATAGCCTGTGGTCCGGAGGGAGGCCTCAAAGCTGGATGAGATTTTATTCAAAAAGATAAAGAAATGTAATTTTCTTGGAGATTATGAAAATTGTGGTAAACCATGCATCTTTAAAATTATTATAAGACCCTTCCAAAAAGTACTTTTTCTTAGGAAATTTGTACCAGTAATTTGAACAAAGGTCTTAATATAACAAGATTATAATATTTGTTAAGGAGGGGCTGAGTGCCTGGACAGTGCTATGGCTTCTTACATTTATTTCCAGAGTCGATTTTTTTGTGTACTCAAGGACGACACTGGAGCAGGTGGCCCCATCTTAGGTTCCATTTTAGCTTTTGAGGCTTATTCCTCCTTCTTGGAAAAATCCCTACCCTTTTGAAGCAATTGCATTTGGGTCAACCGCCTTCGGTTTTCAATGGAGACTTGGGATCCAATGAGGCTCTTTTCTTCACTCCATGTCCTGCCATTATCTTGGGTGACCTCAGCACTGATTGTCTGTTTATTCCATACTTTGGCATATTTGTTCTTATTTTTTTTTTAAGATTTACTATTTGAAAAGGGGGAGGAAGGCAACACTGTAGCACAATTTACTAAGCCATGGCCTCCAGAGCCGGCGTCCCATATAGGTGCCAGGTCAAGTCCTGGCTGCTCCACTTCTGTTCCAGCTCCCTGCTTACGTGCCTTGGAAGGCAGAGGAAGACAGTCCAGGTGCTTGGGTCCTGTCACCTACGTGGAAGACCCAGAAGAAACTCCTGGCTCCCTCCTGGCTTCTGTCTGGCCTTGTCTCAGCTATTGCAGCCATTGGGGAGTAAACCCCAAAATGTCTGTCTCAACTTCTCTTTCTGTAATTTGGTCTTTCAAATAAATAAATCTCAAAAAAAAAAAAAAAAAGAGTGAGAGATTGCGATGTTCCATCCACTGATTCACTCCCCAAACATCTGCATCAGACAGAGCTGGGCCAGATGAAGCCAAAAGCCAGGAACTCCATCCTGGTCTCCCAAGTGTGTGGCAAGGACTCAAATACTTGGACCATCATCCACTGCCTTCCCAGGTGCATTAGCAGGAATGTGGGACAGAAATAGAGTAGTCAGGACTAGAACCAGCAATCTAAAATGGCATGCGGGTGTTTCCGGTGGTGGTTTAACCCTGTGCACCATGATGCCAGCACTGGCATACTGGTCCATGATGTGCTTATCTCTAGTGATCTTCCTCTCCATTCTTCTTCCTTTTTTTTTCTTAACATTTATTCATTTGAAAGGCAGTTACAGAGAGGCAGAGAGAGAGAGAGAGAGAGGAAGAGAGAAAGAGAGAGAGAGAGAGAGGTCTTCCATCCACTAATTCACTCCCGAAATGGCCACAACTGCCAGA